TAGCTCTATCGGCTCTAAACTGTTCTTCCTAAAGGTCCAGTAAAGATCATCTCTTATCGATCAATTATTACTACAGGAGGAAACCTAGACAAAACTAACTTTATTCTTACTGAATAGCTCGATCAGTTCTAAACTGTTCTTCCTAGAAGCTCAGTAAGAATTATCTTTTATTGATCCATGTATTACTACAGGAGGAAACATAAACTAAACTAACTTTATTTATCCTGGATTGCTCTATCAGTTCTAAACTGTTCTTCCTAGAGTTCAGTAAGAATCATTTCTTATTGATGATGCATGTATTACTACAGGAGGAAACATAAACTAAACTGACTAGGTTATTAACACTATAGCAGTCAGTTCCAAACGGTTCTTCATAGAGGTCAAGTAAGGGTCACTGATGATGATCTTTATTGATCGCTGGTACAACTGTTACTACAAAAGGAAACCTAACTATAACAGCCTGTTTACACTTGCAATTTTTGCTGCGATGTCTAGTGCGATTTTCTTCTTCCCACGTATGTGAACGAGTAGATGAGTAATGAATGCTCTGAGATTTGCTCTGAGTATATGCACCCTCATCTAACATTCATAGCTCATCAACTCGTTCACATCCATCAGAAGAAGAAAATCGCACCTGAAATCGCAGTAAAAATTTCAAGCGTAAACGGGCATTAAACTAGTACTGGCTAGCTCTGTCAGCTCTGACCTCTCTAGAGATCCAGTACGGGTAATGTGGCTTAGTATTAGATTTTCCACAAAACGCCAGAAAGGGTGTCCTGTAACCTTAAATATTGTGTAACTGTGAAGGATTAAAAGATTTCTGCTTAATATTTTGTTCATAACTTCATGGTATAAAGTGGTGGTCCAGTGTACGTAATATTCTACAATAAGCTGTCGTGGTTTGTATTTGAACTCAAAGACATGAAAAAGATATCTCAAACGTGGTAGTCCAGTATCGGTAGCGCTCTATACAATAAGCTGTCGTGGTTTGTGTCTGAATTACCTGAAAAACATATCTCAAACGTTGTGGTTCAGTCTAGGTAGTATTCTACAATAAACTGTCGTGGTTTATGTCTGAACTACCTAAAAAATATCTCAAACGTTGCGGTCCATTGTAGGTATTATTCTACAATAAGCTGCCGTTGTTTGTGCCTGAACTACCTGAAAAAAAATATCTCAAACGTTGTGGTTCAGTGTAGGTAGTATTCTCAGTACAATAAGCTGTCGTGGTTTGTGTCTAAACTACCTGAAAAAGATATCTCCAACGTAGTGGTTCAGTGTAGGTAGTATTCTATACAATAAACTGTCGTGGTTTGTGTCTGAACTACCTGAAAAAGATATCTCAAACGTAGTGGTTCAGTGTAGGTAGTATTCTACAATAAACTGTCATGGTTTATGTCTGAACTACCTAAAAAAATATCTCAAACGTTGTGGTCCAGTGTAGGTAGTATTCTACAATAGGCTTCCGTGGTTTGTGGCTGAACAAGAATGGTTTTCTCTCCTTAAACATCAAAATGTTTTGAATTTTATTCACGGCAGCTTATACAGTATTGGTCTAGAAATAAGCATAGAAATATGGAGCCGCGGGAAAGCTTGAAACATCTGGTCGGTACTCCATGCAGTCTATATATCGGGCAGGCACTTACTGGCATCTCGACACAATATAGCAACAGCTTGTTTTTGTTGTTTATCGCAGGAACCTGAGTTTCGAATGAGTCTTCGAGCTGAAAAACAGGAAAAAAGTGTATAGTAATACCATTAAAATGTTCGTATCTAGTATGGTTAAATGAATGTTGGTAGCACTGTGGCAACTGACAAGCGCATGCATCAGGGCCGTCGCTATAGTGGGGTGCATGCGTGAGGTGTGAACCCCCCCCCCAAAAAAAAAAAAAACAACCAAAAAACAAAAAACATCTTGTTTGCAAAATAACGGATTTATCGACAAATTGTTTTCGTAGTCATCGAAAATATTTGAGTGTCTCGGATTAAAAAGTAATAGTTATAGCAAAAATTTTGATAGATTTACGAAAATATTACCGGCAAAAAGTTAACAAATTACGGTACATTAAGTCGAAAGTTAGTGAGAAATTGTATGTCCGAAAAATCTTTTAATCCCAATATGTCCAAATGACTAAATGACAGATATTTGTGATGAAAATAATTATTTTCCTTGCGTTGTGCTCGCCAGAAGCTCTAATGCTCTTCAGTGCAACATTTGATATGGTACTGCTCCCCGCTCTCCAGAAGTCCAGTAAGGGCTATCGTAATTGCGCAGTTGAGAAATGAGTCACAGTCCCAAACATTTTGACGAAATAACATCTTTATTTTCGGCAAGTTGTCCTTTCGGCAAACTGTCCGTTCGGCAAAATGTCCGTTCGGCAAAATGTCAGTTCGGCAAAACGTCCGTTCGGCAAAATGACCGTCGGCAAAATTTCCGTTCGGCAAAATGTCTTTCCGCAAAGTGTCTTTCGGTAAAATGTCCGGGTACCGTGCGGCTGCAGAATCAGAACAAAATATGCCGAGTTTAGTAGAATCATATCGACTGGAAGCATTTCAGCCATTTCCTACATGCGACTAAGGGGAAATACTGCATGTTGCATGTAGAACCGTGGTCGTAGCGGTAAAAATCACGTGAACTAAAGTACCAACAGATCATCTATTTTTATAATCTGCTCATAGGATGAGAGTTAAACCAAACGCAAACCATTCATATTTGGCTGCAAACAAGTTTTGGCAACGGTTATAATTTTTCACTTTGACGCGCATCGTTTTTGCGATTGCGCCGGGGGGGGGGGGCGTAGGGGTCTGTTGTAGAGATGAAGTAAGACCTTCCAAGGGGGTCTGGGGGCTGTGCCACGGAAAAAAAGAAATACATTTCAACCTTGCATGCCGGCTGAGCATGCAAATATTATTTATTATAGTACTAGTGTACCAATTTCCCAAACCAAGCACAAATCAAAGGGCATATGCGTTTAGTATCATGAAAATTATTGGGGGTGGAGCCTCACGCGTGGGCGGTCCCGGGAGGAAACAACCTCGAGAAAAGACCCAGGGTACGAGGTTGTGGCAGAGAATAAATTTTGTAAAAGAAGATGGTCTGAACTATCCAGGATCAGGGCCTTTCCTGTTTAGCTAGCTGATGCTGTAACCTGCACTCAGGCGTAGAATATAAAAAAAGAAAACCTCTGTACCCAGGATAGGTTTCGTGTATCTCAGGGCTTGTGAGAGTTGTGCGCGGCTGGGAGGGTCCTTGAGACAAGGTATACGCGGCAAATTATATTAGTTATTCTGTCCTCTCAAGTGCACCGGCTTAGCAATCCAAAAAATGCCAAAAAGCCTCTAAAGCCTTGACACGTCATTGCAACTTGTGTTAGTTGATAATCCAGCCTTTCATTTGCATTAGAATGGCAACGAAAAAAAATAGAGCTTAAGCATAAAACACTTGGTGGGTCGGGCAGTCTGCATATACTACACCAGTATTCAACCACTTGCTGATACCTCTAGATAACAAATAAGCAACAGCTTCTTGTTGCCTTTTCGCTGTTTGACGCAAAAGAAGCTGAATTGAAGAGTTTCAAAAGTTTTCAAGCCTAAAATAGGTATACAAAATATATACAACTAAATATGTCATTGTCATGTCTAGTTAATGTGATATTGGTAGCACGTAGGTTAGTGTATATGTGTCTTTGTTCCGAGTTCGACTTTGTTCCAGGTAGGCAGTCGTTTTAGTTGTTTTTTTCTTCCGATTATTTCCTAATGTTTCGCGCATAATTGGGTAAGGTATCACCTTTCCTGGACCTTCAGGGAGAACAGTTCAAAACCGATAGAGCTATCCAGTGTGGGCCCTGTCCTTTGACACTTCAATTAAACTCAAGTAATCTAATTTATGTATACTGCATGAATAGCTCTATCAGTTCCAACTCATTCGCCCTAGGAGTCCATTAATCGGCAACCCTTATTGATAAAGTGTTTGTCCCTAGAGAAAGCCTACGGTGATTGTTAGAGTGAAAGAGAAGCACTGTGCATGTTTATTCTAACATACGATTGAAGAGAAATTATCAGCATATAACCCAGGAAAAGTGAACGCTCACCACATTCTGAATGCATTTTACATGCACGTTTTCCACTGTATGACGCACCAATCCACAATGACATCCAGGCACAACTATATGGAGTAGAAATGATGTTTCAAATTCATTATGTTTAGCTTAATGCCATTTCCTATACATAATAATTTGTGTAATTTTTCCAGTCATGCGTGCATGAGGTGATCTTCCAATTCTCTACGAATTTAAATTACAGTAGACATGTCACTGTTCTCATAGTTGACAGTGAAAAATATCAGGAAATGCACTTTCCGCGGCGGGCTTGTAAATTTTAAAAATTTTCTTAATACAAGCTCTCAGGTCCCCCTAGCCCTATCTCAACAACCAACATCACCCTCTACCCCCACCCCAATTATAAAATCGCTTATTTGTAACTGCAAGGGAACTCGCATCCCAGAGGTGAAAAAGCACATGCCCCTATAGCCATTGTTGCCACCAATGGATGATTCCATGCAGCTTTTGACGAAATTTTGATCTAGACAAGAAGAACAAATCCATTACCACAGCTGGAAAGAGCATCTTAGAATGAGTAAAATTTGCAAAGTTTGGTTGCGAATTGTTGTAAAAATGTAAAATGAGGAAAATATAGCCCTGTGAAGTTCGCAAATTTTGTATATATTTGCACTCGCACACGGGAAAAATAACCATGCGTTTGTGAGCAGAAAGTGGTCACTTTTTATCGCGCGTAATACAAATATATACAAAAGTTGCGAACTTCACAGGGCTATATTTTATTCATTTTACATCATTTAGCAACCAATCTTTGCAATTCACTCATTCTAAGACGCTCTTTCTAGCTGTGGTGTTGGTTTTTGTTCTTCTTGCCTTGAACAAAATTTCGTCCATAGCTGGAAACATACGTACATTATCTATTTTATAATCCGGTCATATAGGATGAGGGTTAAACGGAACAAACACAAACCAATCATATTCAGCAACTGTAAAAACGTTTTGGCGACAGCTATGATGTTTTACTTTGCCGCAAATCTCGTTTTCGGAGCGGAAGAGAACGAAACTCAATTTTGCAGAAGTGGATGGTCTGAATTCGTGAACGACAGGAAGAAATATGAAAGTGAATGTTTAAATGAAGATAGTGTGAGAGCGTCACCGTGTTGTAAGGCGACAGCTGGCTATCTTGAACAGCGATATGAAAACTATATAAAGTGGTGTCCCATTGTGGGTAAGTTCTTCGACGTAGATCAGGCAAAAAGTTAAATAAATTGTATAAATACAACTAAGTAATTGATATATGAATTTTATATTCGAGTGGTGAATTAAAACAAAATGTTACGAATGAGTGCATGCAGCCAATAAGTAAAATATTGTTTTTTTTACCACGAGAAGATAAAATTCATATATTCAAGCCACCGTGTAGTGCTCGTTTTATTATATATTCACTTTCGCAAAGCTCGCCATTTTAACTGCGAAATGACAACTTGTAAACACAATGCAATTGCCTGCAAATGATCACGTGATCGAAACTTCACTACTATATAATAATATTAAGCCATATGGGCTTTGAATATACAGGGTGCATCAAAAAAAGTAAGACAATTTTGAAATTGCTCTCAATTCCACAATTCTGTTCGTGAAATTTATTTTTTGATATGTATGGATTGCTTGAGTTCTTAAATTATGGAAAATATGAAAAATTTTGAAAATAGTAAATTTTGCTATCCAGGGGGGTAGTCAACTTTTGCTCCCCTAAAAGTGGCTTGCGCACGGAAATAACAAACGGTATTCTTTATTTGAGTTCATGTATGAAAAGTTCGCTATTTGTTGCATTTATGATAACATTTCGGCAGGATTTTACCGAGTACAAATCCTCCGAAAAGCCAATGAAAACGTTACATTTTTTTCCGTTGGTGCTGTTCTTGCTTCATTATGAATTCACAAATTTGCATTTGCATTTTGATTTTAAATGAGTCATGTTAATTATGTATCTTAATTCTTTAAAGGTACGTTTACACGCTGCGATTTGTCGGGCCGATTTTGAAAAAAAATCGATGTCCCTTCTTCGACATTTAGCGATTTAAACATTCAATTGAAGCTGTCCGCTCTCTCGTCTGTTCATATTATAGTTTTCTGCGTGCGAAAAGTTTTCAACAACTTTACAACGGAAGAAAAATCGTTGAATCGTGAGAAAATCTGTGGTTTTGTTACAGATTTTTCTCCCGATTTTGTGAATCGCAATGTGCTGACGCGAGTACTCACGACAGGTTGTTTACATACAGCGAGCAAAATCGGCCTGACAAATCGCAGCGTGTAAACGTACCTTAAGTAAATAAAACTTTGAAGTGAAACTTTGGCGAACCAAGTCTATGTTGTTACTACGGAGGAACTCTGATACCATAAAAGCTCTCTGCTGCGGGGTAAATTGTGGCATCTCCATTTCAAAGAGGAGGGGGTATTATACGAGAAAATGCGTTTCAGCAGAAATACTCGAAAGCACAAATTCCATGGAAATTCCATGGAACACTCATGGGAGTAAAAATGAATTCATAATGAAGCAAGAACAGAGCCAACGGAGAAAAATGTAGCGTTTACATTGGCTTTTCGGAGGATTTGTACTCGACAAAATCCTGCCAAAATTTTATCATAACTATAAATGCAACAAATCATGAACTCAAATACATGAACTCAAATAAAGAATACCGTTTGTTATTTCCGTGCGCAAGCCACTTTTAGGGGAGCAAAAGTTGACCACTCCCTTGGATAGCAAAATTTACTGTTTTCAATTTTTTTTATATTTTCTATAATTTAAGAACTCAAGCAATCCATACATATCAAAAATCACATTTCATGAACAGAATTGTGGAATTGAGAGCAATTTCAAAATTGTCTTACTTGTTTTGATACACCCTGTATAGAGCCAGTCCAACAAGCAGGGGCTGCTTTTTAACCTCATGTTCAGCTGGCTCTTTAAGTAAAAAGCATCGATCTTCTGTTCAACAGCTACATATTCATTGCGGAATAGACACGTCCTTATTCGCACTTAATTTCATGATTTTTTCGGGGCAATATTCGTCGCAACTCTGGTCTTTGTAGCCGATAAAACACTCCCTCTCGTGTTTTAAATAGTCCTTAAAATTCTTCAATTTTCTTTTATTAGAAGGCAGATGCGCATGTCATTATTATAGAGTGCAAGAAGTTAGCCGCATTGTGTTCGATAATAAATCAATCCAATTGTCGTGGAGCAAGCCTAACTTCACTTGCCCGCATAAATATCTTCTTAACCGTCAAATTGAACCGGACATAACGTCGCCACGCAATTTCTCCATTGGTCGACATGAAATCAAGTATATTTTTGAACTGTATGGAGGCATAAAAGTAAAATGTACCATTGTCTTCAATGTTCGATTATGTCGTAAGTATATATCATCTTTATATATCTGATTGTATGTATTAGTCAAGAACCGGTTATTAATATTGGAATGGGGAGAGGGGGGGGGGTAGTGGGCGAGAAACCTCCCACATTGTACTTTTTCTTTAAACCGCCTCCACAATACATTTATTTCGAGACGCCCCCGAATTCCATATCGACTATTTTAGAACCCCCCCCCCCTTATGATTTTATTAAAATAAACAGGTATTTTCTTACTGATTTCAAAACATATTAAATTAAATCAAATGCGTAATATAATCAAAAGCAATGTGTTGTAAACTCGGCGCAACTTTTATATAAAGGCATATTTTTTGCAAGACAAGAAGTATATTAATTCATATTTTCGGGTAACTTTTTTGTCATGCCCAGTATGACTAGCATGACCGCTAGCTTCGCTCTGTACCTATAGACATGTAACAAGACGTAAATCAAACAACTACCAGTGACCCCAAAATCTGTATGCGCAAGATAACAGGCAGACGGGCAAACATTGTAAGTAGGCGCTTCGTACTTTGTTGTCTGACAATTTACTCTCTAATATTAAATGTGTGCTGAAGATGTCTGTGTCAAGCGTTATAAGCCCCCGCAAAATTGTCATAACGATATCGATTGATCTTTTTTTAACTAAAAATGCAATTCCTATATTTTTGTAACAAATCAAAGCAATTAAGTCAAGGCTGTCCAGAAAACTGGAAAGAATATGGCAATTCATGCTATCTTTTTGACATACCAACTTCACGAATCCGTAAAATGAGCTGGGAAGACTCCAGAGCTATCTGCTTAGGACATGGAGCTGACTTGGTTTCTATTCTTAATTCCTTGGAAGTTGATTTTATTAACAAGCAAACAAAAGCCCACAAAGGAAAATACAGATTTTGGATTGGGCTATTCCGCAACAAGACGACCAGTGATCTATTCATCAGCATCATCACCACTATCACCAACACATCATCATTATCATTATCACCATCATCACCATACCACAAGAATAAGAAGGTACAGCAGAAGTGTAACTGGAGTCAATTCCTTTATTGTTTTACGTCCAAATTTTAACTCGCTCACGCCATCCTGGCTATTACAACCGGAAGTTTTTATCAGGTTTTGGTAGGTACAAAGTGCCGGTTGTACTAGCCAGGATGACGTGATTGATGACGAATCGCTTGTAAAAACGCGGACAAAATGCTTGCTTGAGTGAGACTTCTGCTGTACCTTCTTATTCTGTGACCATACCATCATCAGATCATCACTTTCATTGTCACCATCGTCATCATCATTATCTCCTTCATTATCTCCGTCATCACCACAATCACACCAATATCTTCGTCATCATCATCATCATTATCATCTTTGTTATCATATATCTGATAGAGTTTCCAGGCCAAAGAACATTGACCTTGTCCATATTGGCATGATTATGACCAATGGAACACTCATCCAAAACCTCCAAGCCACCGTTTACTAATTCCAGAAAAGTTCAATTATAGATTACTGTGGTTGTGAGTCTGAATATGAAATTCATTGTTGGAAACCTGTATTGCACTGGAATGAACCATGTCCCGTATGTACAACAAAAAATTAGCTGGAGGTTAGGGAACAACTCACCCCCAATATCAGACCACCAGTAGCGCTTGGTGCTGGAGAATATACCATTAACTATACATTCACATATAAACTGTCATCAGGAAGTTTAAGAGAAACCAAATGTTCTGCGAAATTCAGGGTAAATGCAGGTAGGTCTACACCAACCCTTTGTATTTATACTGGATAACTGTATTCATTTTTCACATTACTCGGTCTCCTTTGATCTTTAGAGAAAATAGATTTAATATCCCCTGCCAGTTAAGTGTATCATTCGGCAAATCTACAAACTTTGTTTTTCTGGTTCCGAAAATACTCAAGAACTGTTATTGCGAGTTAAAATTATATATCATCCCAATTGAAAAGAGTCAGAAAAAGATAACTAGCGTGCAAGGAAATACTGGAAGATTCAAAGCAACCATCAAGACCACTTTCCACAAATATGAAGTATTGCAGAATACTTGTCCCTTTCACTATTTAATTCACTGGTTACGTATATACTCCAGATCTTATTGCCTCGTTCTAATATGCGCAAACTAATGGACCATTTGCATTATAGATTAAATTCTGATCTAAGCAAGAAAGATTTCATCACAGCTTGAAGAGCATCACAAAATTAGTAATATTCCAAAGTTTCGTTGCGAAATGTTGTAAAATGCGGATAATATAGCCTTGCGAAGTTTGCCGTTTTTCAGTCATTTTCTATTACAAACGGGAAATTGACAGCCCCAAAGGGTATTGGGCTGTCAATTTCCCCCACGTAATGCAAAATGACTGAAAAACGGCAAACTTCGCAAGGCTATATTATCCGCATTTTACAGAGATTTCACAGATTTATTCAGGAACTGCACTATTTACAAAACAAAGAAAATGTATACAAAATTTTACAAATAATTATGTTTTGAATGAATAATTTCAAGTTAATTTGATAAAGTGAAGGTGCGTAGTGATCAAAGGAGCATAAACTTTCGAGTTGATCACTACCTACGTTCGATCATATCACAACATTTCGCAACGAAACTTTGGAATATTGCTAATTTTGTGATGCTCTTTCAAGCTGTGATGAAATTTTTCTCTAGACCTGTTTAGATTAAAATTTAGTCTAGAATGCAAATGGCCCATTACTAAGACAATATTGCGAATAGACACTATAAAGGAAATATCATGCAAGGCTTTTAATGTTTGATACTATGCTTAGCTAGTGCGCTTTATAATATAAAATTATTTTTTCCCAGCGACGCTAATTAATCATAATCTGTCATTACAAACACCAATGTGCGGTTGTGAGGAACATTACACCGTTACACAGTTAAACCATGCACCAAGCCACAATAACTAGCTGACTGCGTATCCACGTATCCGCGTATGCACCAAAATATAGAGCAACCTATATATAGCATGACAATTTGATCTAGTAATGCTAGTTGCCTCCACTGCTGTATTAAAGTAACTTCGTTAAATGTAACTAGTTACAACTAATCGTTACATTTTTCAGTAACGGTATACGTAACGGTAACTCGTTACATTTTGAGAACATGTATACCTGTAACGGTAACTAGTTACAAAAAATGCCATAAATTTAAACAATTACAAGTTATTTTGCCAAAGTTACAAGTTACATGAAATATATCAATACACATTTTGAAATGAAATAAATCAATACACAGTCAGGCAAGCTCTGAATCATCTACACAGGAATAATTTAATCTGACACAACAGCCGGAATCCGTTCAATTCACAAATTTAAGTCAAGAATTGACGTTAAATTTACGAAAAGTATAGGAACTAATCGGAATGCCGTCGCTCGCCTTCACTTGGCCTCGTCATAATTGATCTTTGGCCTCATTCCACTTGGCCTTAGCCCAGTCATGATCACGTTTCTGCTTTTTCATTGCGAAGTCAGAAGCCACTAGCCAATGAGGGGAAGCCACTAGCCAGTTTATTATTCCTTACAATGTAAAGAATAATAAACTGGCTAGTGGCTTCCCCTCATTGGCTAGTGGCTTCTACATAATATATATAGTTCTTAATATTTTGTTCTACGTAAACTTGGTGACATTTTAACATTAAGCATAAAAAATCAATGTATGCACTTGTAGAAAGGGGTCTAGAAACTAGAAATCTTATCGGTACTCGCCATTTCTGCAAAAAGCGTTCCCTTGAAAAAATTGGGGGGGGGGGGGAATCCGCGCACGCGCTCGTTCTAACGGCTATTCTAACATTATTATTTGAAAGAAACGTTTTAAAAACTTCAGACTGTAAGAAAAATATGTGGATTCTTTGGGATAACTCGTGGTCAGTGGGGAGAACATCATTTAAAGATAAAGTCAAACCGTTTCTAAAAAGCCCCATCAACAGCCCACAACTGAATGTTTGTCCAGAGGGCACGCATATTGGTATTTTGACTTTCAGTACACAGGCGCAGACCAAAGTGTTATTGGAATTTGAAGAAGTGCAATCTCCGGTGGCCTTAAACAACCTCCTCGATTCTCTAAAATACCATGACATATCTGGAGACGGTGCTCGAACTGGTATGGCTTTGAAACTTATTGATGAGGTAAGATTGTGATTCCTATTTACAGAATATGGTGAATCTTTATAGGGTATACACGTAAAAACGCACAAGTTGTAGTAAATCCAGGGGCCTAGCGTGACCTTTTTAACTGGAAGGGGGAGGGGTGTAACATCTAAGTTTTACCGACGACCACGTGGCACTTGAAAGCGAAAGAATCAAGGCCAATGGCCTCGTTTTCATGTCAACTACTTACTCATGTTTTGTGCTTAGTAGGGTTGAAAATTACTTTGTTATTGAGCCTAAGAACAGCAAGAAACAAATTCGTCCAGGAAAACATGGGAATATCATCTTTATCTGCCCCTGACATGCTTTTAAAATAAGTTAACATGGAAACGAGGGCAAATGATGTTGTGTAAAAGAGAATAATCGGTAAGGTCTATTAAGAATAAAAGGACTAAATGCGAGCATTGTCGTGTATCTGTACATGCTGCATGCACAGCATTATCCCATAGTTGCCAACTTTGGCAAAAAAACATGCGTGAGATTTTGTTTGGGGGGACCCACGCGCCACGCGGCACCACCATGGTTGGCGCCAAGCGGAAAACGTTTGAAAATATAGAGTCTCTAGATCGTTGGAAATGCCATTTTCAGAGTCTTCTATACCTTATACACACAATTTTTGGTAGCTTTTATTTATATTAAACAAAACCATATTGTTGAATACCCACGAGGTTGCATGTAGCGATGTTTTGATGATCTATTTCAGAAAGAAAAAGTTTTACGTATTTTGACGCAAATGAAGTCACTCTTAATAGTTAAAAAGTGCAACAAAGTCAACATATTTAAGAGTCAGTTGTGTTATTTTCGAAATCCGTGAGAATCCGTGAGATATTAACAAGCTGTGAGTGTGAGCTCACCTTGACGTTTTAGTAGAATCCGTGACTGCCCCGTGATACGCTACATATAACATATACCATAACATCTAGCAACTGACAAGTAAATATCTCGGCGCGCGTTTAATTTAATGACACTTACCGTGACTTTATACACCAGTCAAAGTAAGCTCTGACCCCCACCCCCACCCCGGACAAAGAGGGGACTTGGTGGGGGGTTTAGTGGCTTTTTGTCATCGATTTCTGTCCCAACCATGTCGGGATTTGTTGGTTTTGTCATACTGCCGAATTACGGGAAGATAATGGGGATTGTTAGGGGATTGTCTGCGGCCATTTTGTACTATTTTGTACTGTTTTGTCCAATGGAATCCCCTGGTTCTACCATTTTATACCATGTGACAAAGGTCAAGATGGCGTGCTCGCAAGGAAGTGAAATCGAGAGGAATTTTATAAATATATTATTAATTTAATTTCTTTTTAATCTGTATGTTAATACCGGTTAATATGTCCATCCATCCATGGAATCTATTGTTGTGGAAAGCTCGACATTTGTTTGTGTATATTAATATGTTTTTATTGTTCTTTTGAGTTTTGGAACAAAATATTAATATTTTAAAATGTGGACGATTTATGCGGTGGCCCGGAGATTGTCGAGGAGATGTTATGCAGGAGATAAATTCGCTCACACGACTTACAATTTCCCCCGGGGGTGGGGCATTTTTTGTCTTTTGCTAGAAAATTTTGCGTGGGGCATTTGTCTGTTTTGGTACGGTATTCAAAGCCAATCCCCACCTATATCCCGGGGTGGGGGTGGGGGTGGGGGGGTCGGAGTTTACTTTGACTGGTGCATTAAGTCTGCCGTCTAGAAATAACGTAAAACCAGAAACGCAGCAAACGCTTTATTAATTGGAATAATTGTTGTCTTTGTTACTTCGCGATAAGTCATTTACTTCATTTTACTCAATGACTTTTATCTTGTAGTCTATTGTAATAAGCAGACTTGAAAAGTTGGCGAAACATTTTATGAGCACCGCGTGTCAATAATAAATATATTAAATATAATCTTTAATTCTTTGGCGTATCATTGTATTAAGGTCAAACGTTCGCGCACAGTTGAACATGTCCAATCAGAACTGACTGTTTTCGCAGCTCTTGCACTGAGTGTAATACGATAGGAATTTAGGGGCTGCAAGCGGAGATATTTAATATAAGTAATTACTGAAGAATTACGTACATTTTTCATAACTTTATTGGATTTAAAATTCCACTTTAACCAATTTGTTTTACCGACCGCTGTCATGGCTCTTGCCATTACCGACTAACTTCGCATTTTACCGACTACCTCACTAAAACTGGGGGTATCACCCCCCCCCCCCACACACACACACACCTCCGCACGCTACGCCCCTGAGTAAATCTGCATGCACCAGACTAGTAGCAACTCGGGTGCATAGAATAAGAAATGAATAGAAGTGCCACTCAAGTAGGAACCTTTGATGTAAATGGCGTCGCGCATGTCGCCTCGCGCATCTCGGCCGCCATCTTCCCAGCAAGTAAAAATGGAGGATTTTATATAGAGTTATTAGGGAGTTAACTGCAAAAATTGGATTTTCAGCGACGATTTCCTTCTAAATTATCAAAAAATGAATGATTTGTTTAAAAAGAAGGTATGTGGTCTTATCTAAAAGTTTTGAAGTCTAAAGTCTTTATCTTAAAGTTTTGAAGCTGTAATTTAACAATTTAGTGCGGTGTTTTTCGTGACCGAGATACTATTCATAGTTAGGTTTGAGTTATTTTTATATTTTTGTTCGTATTGCTACAAAATATATTCTTACATGAAAATTTTGTATTGCTTTACTTAATTTTGAAAGACATCATGTTATGTCATACCGTTTCTGGTTGGTAATTTGCATATTAAATCCAACTTATCCAAGCACAATTTCAAGAAATACAAGAATCATATGTATTGTTGGAAATATGTAATTGGCTGGCTGATTAGTTGATATAAGATAGTTAAATTAGTTGATATAAGATAGTTACTTTGTTTTAAGTTTTTTTCAAATTATTTAATATCCATTTTAGTTTAATATTAGTGATACTCATGACTGTTCTTGCATGCACTTTATACCAGTATATCACTGATATATTTCCTTTTTTTCAGTTTGAAAGATCACAGATGAAACAACTTCCATGATTTGAACAACTTCTACAAACATTAACTTTAATTGTAATGCAAAATGGGAATATTTTGTAATATGGAAATTTTTTGTCAATGTAGACATATGGTGACAAAATGTTTGTGATGAAAATGTCTTCTATAGTAAATCTAGTTGTTCCACATGTCCAAGAAATTGTGCGGTTGTGCACACTTTTTTGCAGTTGTGAAAACTCGGCAAAGGTTAGGCCATCAAAGCTAATGACTTAGCTTTATGATGTATAAAACCTTTGCAAAGACATATATGAAATGTTTTTTGAAGCTTTTCAAGATTAAATTGTATAAATGTATATTTAAACACAACAAAAACATCTCAAATTACAGATTAGATGACAAACTGTACAAGTTCTAAAGCTTGGTTCACACTACCAATTTTGTAGTTGATTTTCTATTCTTGATGGATGCAAATGTGTGAACTTGCACACAAAACTATAGAATATTTTATTGCTATTCAGAAATATATATTTCTTAGTCTAAGTAGGGCACATTGTGGCTCAATGGGTTAACCTAGAGACATTGTCAGATTTTTTGGTAAACCATTGAGCTGCAGAGCTTCCCCATTGATGAGTAAAATTGTCTGGTGTTAGATAGTCTGGCATAATGGAAGTGAACAGTTTTGTTCATGATGTATGATTCCAATAAAAACTTGCTTTCTGTTAAGATAGTAGATTATTACAAATGTTGACAGGTGACAGATATATTCATCAGTGGTATGTCTGTTACATCTGTACATCCAAAATGGTCATATAATTTATATTTATTCAACCTTCACCATATATATTAATATTACCAGGGATGGATACAGCATGATCTGGTGTGTGGGGGTGGGGGCGGGTGTGCTGCTCTGCCAGCTCTGGTGCCGAGTTGTGTCGGTGATGTGTGCTGCCCGCCCACCAACTTGCTTCGCTACTGCAAAGTCTTGCTTGACTACTGTATTTGAATTGTAATTGTTGTTCACAGTTCGCTTATTGATCATGTTATTACTGAAATGACTGTATCTCATTTTGTCTCTAATAATTTTTTGCTTTATCACGAAATATAGCAGACCCCCTGCACCCCCTCTGGCCAGGGCTAGGGGGTGTACCCCTCTGGCCAGGGTAGGTGGTGCACCCCCCCCCCAACACCCCCAGAAAATCCATCCCTGAATATTACTAATAACATGGATACAATACATACATTACATTATAAATATATAGTGATACGACTGTATACTAATGACAATTGATGTGAAAGCACCATAACAGTTAAAATCAATTACTGTGGGCCTTTTAACGACAAACATCTAGAAACAGCAGTTAATAACATAGTTCAAACTTCGACAACCTTTATAGTTTAAACACAGATTTCCATGTTCTTGCATCCTCTGCATCAATGCAGCGCTTTCGAGTAATAGTCTCCTAACAATCTCATAAATGTATTTGTACTTTAAGAATGTGTAAGGTTCTCTTAACTCTGCTGGAAGACACTTTGTTACAGATGAGAAATACAAGCTCTGGAAAGTGCTAGACAAAGTCCTGCTTTCTGTGGATCGAAGGATACAATTTTGGTGCCAGATGATCTGGTCATTCTTGTGGGAATTATGGGTATGGGGACAATATCTTCAGATATGTCCACCATACCATTAACTGAAATGTCTTTGGGCTATCCTTCAACCAACTTGGGTACCAAGATGTATAGATCTCATATTAAATCTGTAATGCAATAATACACATTTCCTTTGTCCTGAAGTGTTGCACACAAATACGCCATGTTTCATGAATGTCAAACAAGCCATGAACCCAACTGACCCAATAGTGTAAAAATTAATTTTGGGTGCCAATCAGCCCAATGAAATAATCTCTTCTTTCCCTGAAATCAATCCATTCCTGATTCCTCATACTGGGTCATTGCCTCATTGGGTTGAGAAGAAGCTTCCTGCCGTTTAAACAAGGTTTATGGCGTTGACGACAAGGGACCTGCCGGTGAGGACAAGGTTACTGGCGGTGAGAACAAGGTTGCTGGCGGTGAGGACAAGGTTGCTGGCGGCGAGGACAATGTCCTCACCGCCAGCAACCTTGTCCTAACCGCCACGAACCTTGTCCTCACAGCCAGCAACCTTGTCCTCACGGCCAGGAACATTGTCCTCACCGGCAGGAACCTTGTCCTCGCCGCCAGCAACCTTGTCCTCACCGCCAGCAACCCTGTTCTCACCGCCAGGAACCTTGTCCTCACCGACAGGACCCTTGTCCTCAACGGCAGAAACCTTGTTGTCAGCGGCAGGAACCTTGTTCTCACCGCCAGGAACCTTGTTCTCACCGGCAGAAACCTTGTTCTCACCGCCAGGAACCTTGTCCTAACCACCAGGAGCCTTGTCCTCACTGCCAGGAACCTTTCCTTCACCGCCAGGAACCTTGTCCCCACCACCAGGAACCTTGTCCTCAGCGTCAGCGACCTTGTCCTCAGCCTCAGGAACCTTGTCCTCACCGCAAGCAACCTTGTCCTCACCGCCAGCGACCTTGTCCTCACCGCCAGGAACCTTGCCCTCACCGGCAGGAACCTTGTTGTCAACGGCAGAAACCTTGTCCTCACCGGCAGGAACCTTGTCCTCACCGCCACCAGCCATGTCCTCACCGCCAGCAACCTTGTCCTCACCGCCAGCAAACTTGTCCTCACCGCCATGAACATTGTCCTCACCGCCAGTAACTTTGTCCTCACCGCCACGAACCTTGACCTCACAGGCAGCAACGTTGTCCTCACCGCCAGGAACGTTGTCCTCACCGCCAGGAACGTTGTCCTCACCGGCAGGAACCTTGTCCTCTCAGCCAGGAACCTTGTTCCTGGCGGTGGGGATAAGGTTGCTGGCGGTGAGAACAAGGTTCCTGGCTGTGAGAACAAGGTTCCTGCCGGTGAGAACAAGGTTTCTGCGGTTGAGGACAAGGGTCCTGCCGGTGAGGACAAGGTTCCTGACGGTGAGAACAAGGTTGCTGGCGGTGAGGACAAGGTTGCTGGCGGCCAGGACAAGCTTCCTGCCGGTGAGGACAAGGCTCCTGCCGGTGAGGACAATCTTCCTGGCGGTGAGGACAAGGTTGCTGGCTGTCAGGACAAGGTTGGTGGCGGTGAGGACAAGGTTGCTGGCGGTGAGGACAATGTTCCTGGCGGTGGGGATAAGGTTGCTGGCGGTGAGGACAAGCTTGCTGGCGGTGAGGACAAGGCTCGTGGCGGTGAGGAAATGTTCTTGACGCTGAAGACAAGGTTCCTCACGCTCAGGACAAGGTTCCTGGCGGTGAGGACAGGATTCTTGGCGGTAAGGACAAGGTTCCTGGCGGTGAGGACAAGATTCCTGGTGGTGAGGTCAAGGTTCCTGGTGGTGAGGACACGGTTCCTGCTGGTGAGGACAAGGTTCCTGGTGGTGAGGACAAGGTCCCTGGCGGAGCGGGTAAGGTTCCTGGCGGCGAGGACAAGGTTCCTGGTGGTGAGGGCAAGGTTCCTGCTGGTGAGGACAAGGTTCCTGGCAGTGAGGACAAGGTTCCTGGTGGTGAGGACAAAGTTCCTGTCGGTGAAGATAAGGTTTCTGGCGGTGAGGACAAGGTTCGTGGCGGTGAAGATAAGGTTTCTGGCGGTGAGGACAAGGTTCCTGGCGGTGAGGACAAGGTTCCTGACGGTGAGGACAAGGTCGCTGGTGGTGAGGACAAGGTTTTTGGCGGTGAGCACAAGGTTTCTCGCGGTGAGGACAAGGTTGCTGGCGGTGAGGAGAAGGTTCCTGGCGGTGAGGACAAGGTTTCGGTCGGTGCGCACAAGGTTTCTGGCGGTGAGGAAAAGGTTGCTGGCGCTGAGGACAAGGTTGCTGGCGGTGAGAACAAGGTTCCTAGCGGTGAGGACAAGATTCATGGCGGTGAGGACAAGTTTCCTGGCGGTGAGGACAAGGTTCCTGAGGGCGAGGACAAGGTTCCTGGTGGTGAGGACAAGGTTCCTGGCGGTGAGCACAAGTCTTTTGTCGGTGAGGACAAGGTTGCTGACGGTGACGACAAGTTTGCTGGCGGTGAGGACAAGGTTGCTGGCGGTAAGGAGAACGTTCCTAACAGTGAGAACAAGGTTCCTGATGCTGAGGACAAGGTTCCTGTCCGTGAGGACAAATTTCCTGGCGGTGAGGACAAGGATCCTGGCGGTGAGAACAAGGTTCCTGGTGGTGAGGACAAGGTTCCTGGCAGCGAGGACAAGGTTCCTGGCGGTGAAGACAATGTTTCTGGCTTTGAGGACAAGGTGTCTGGCTGTGAGGACAAGTTCCCTGACGCTGAGAACAAGGTTCCTGGCGGATGAGGACAAGGTTCCTGGTGGTGAGGACAAGGTTCCTGGCGGTGAGGACAAGGTTTCTGGCGGTGAGGAAAAGGTTTCTGGCTGTGAGGACAATGTTCCTGGCGGTGAGGACAAGGTGTCTGGCGGTGAAGACAAGCTTCCTGGTGGTGAGGACAAGGTTCCTGGCAGCGAGGACAAGGTTCATGGCGTTGAGCACAGAGGTTTCTGGCGGTGACGACAACGTTGCTGGCGGTGAGAACAAGGTTCATGGCGGTGAGGACAAGGTTCCTGCCGGTGAGGACAAGGTTTCTGGCGGTGAGGACAAGGTTCCTGGCGGTGAGAACAAGGTTCCTGACGGTGAGGACAAGGTTCCTGGTGAAGAGGACAAGATTCCTGGCGGTGAGGACAAGGTTTCTGGAGGCGAGGACAAGGTTTCTGGTGGTGGGGACAAGGTTCCTGGTGGTGAGGACAAGGTTCCTGACACTGAGGACAAGGTTCCTGTCGCCGAGGACAAAGTTCCTGACGGTCAGGACAAGATTCCTGGCGGTCAGGACAAGGTTCCTGGCGGTGAAGACAAGGTTCCTGGCGGTGAGGACAAGGTTTCTGGCGGTGAGGACAAGGTTCCCGGCGGTGAGGACAAGGTTTCTGGCTGTGAAGGCAAGGTTGCTGTCGTGGAGGACAAGGTTACTGCCGGTGCGAACAACGTTCCTGACGCTGAGGCCTTGTTCGTGGCGGTGAGTTCAAGGTTTATGGCGTGAGCACAAGGTTGCTGCCGGTCATTACAAGGTCCCTGGCTTTGAGGACAAGGTTCCTGGAGGTGAGGCAAGGTTTCTGGCGGTGAGGACAAGGTTCCTGACGGTGAGGACAAGGTTCCTGACGGTGAGGACAAGGTTCCTCGCGGTAAGGACAAGGTTCCTGGCGGTGAGGAAAAGGTTCCTGGCGGTGAGTACAAGGTTCCTGGCGGTGACGACAAGGTTTCTGGCGGTGAGCACAAGGTTGCTGCCGGTAAGGACAAGGTTCCTGGCCTTGAGGTTCCTGGCCGTGAGGACAAGGTCCCTGGCGGTGAGGACAAGGTTCCTGGTGGTGGGGACAAGGTTCCTGGCGGTGAGGACAAGGTTCCCGGCACTGAGGACAAGGTTCCTGTCGGCGAGGACAAAGCTCCTGGCGGTCAGGACAAGATTCCTGGCGGTCAGGACAAGGTTCCTGGCGGTGAAGACAAGGTTCCTGGCGGTGAGGACAAGGTTTCTGGCGGTGAGGACAAGGTTCCCGGCGGTGAGGACAAGGTTTCTGGCTGTGAAGGCAAGGTTGCTGTCGTGGAGGACAAGGTTACTGCCGGTGCGAACAACGTTCCTGACGCTGAGGCCTTGTTCGTGGCGGTGAGTTCAAGGTTTATGGCGTGAGCACAAGGTTGCTGCCGGTCATTACAAGGTCCCTGGCTTTGAGGACAAGGTTCCTGG